AGATAACATCGGTCACGTAATTCGTCCAAATAGATAACATCGGTCACATAATTCGTCCAAATAGATAACATCGGTCACATAATTCGCTAAATAGATAACATCGGTCACAGCTATCAAATTTGTTAATTCTCCAAACGATTACTTCTTAAGATCCGTTAGATAAATGTTTTGGTGGGGTGGTTTCTGTAGTTTTCTAGAATGAATTGTTGTATGGTTTGTTCAAATGAATTAATTTGATCCACATATATAGGTACATGTGTCATAGAGGATATTTCCCGTTCATTACCATATATATTTCACGAGTACGTCAGAATACGGATATGTTTCATCAGCGCGAAGCACGAGCGATAAAATCGGAATGTTCTGCCATAAGAGTGAAATATACATGGCATTAAACAGGAATCTATATTTTTTTCTATTTATTACATTTTAAACCTACCAGCAAAAACGATTATCTTACTGCGTCAAACAGTTGGAGATAAAATATCGTAATTTTTGTCGCCATATTTTAATGACGGCATGTTCGCCAACAGGGCTGCGTTTGTTTGAAATTGTATCACAACAATGAGTACACTTTCCTTCTTATTGGTTATCACTCTGATCAATTATCATATTTAAAAACAATTAAATAACAAACAACGACAGGTTTTCTGAAGAATCTTTATCGCTTTAACAAAATGCAACGTTTAACCATAACGAATCAACATAAACAATTAAACGTACACATATACGAGTATTACTAAAATGTAGTGGAATCTACAAACAAAAAGTTTGGTGTTGCTTTCAAACTGCATATAATGGTGAGAATATCTAAACAGTTTTAATATGACAAGGCCTATAACTCTGATATAACTTATGTTGAGTTCATTCTCAATTTTCACAAACATGTTCAAATAATCTTACAATGATATCTTTGTTAATAATGATATCATATTAGAAAGTTCATTCTTCTCTATTAGAGAGGCTACAATATATGCCTAGGGAGCGTTATGGTTGTCATGGTGATGGATTTTAGTGTTTATGTTGATTAAGGAAAAGATCGCCATACCTTCATCGCGACTGACATACTTTCCTTAAATTATTTTGTTTCCTTTTATGTGTTGACACTTTGGTGTATTTTGTCGTTGTGTGTTGACACTTTGGTGTATTTTGTCGTTGTGTGTTGACACTGTGGTATGTTTTGTCGTTGTGTGTTGACACTGTTGTATGTTTTGTCGTTGTGTGTTTACGCTGTGGTATGTTTTGTCGTTGTGTGTTGACACTGTGGTATGTTTTGTCGTTGTGTGTTGACGCTTTGGTATTATAGTTTGTGCTGATGTGTTGTGTGGGTGTTGGGTAAATTTTATTTTTTACGTGTTGATGTTGTTGTCTTTTTGTGTTGGACATGTGGTCTATATTGTCGCTGTGTGCTAATATTTGGTATTTTTTGTACTTGTGTGATGAAGCTGTAATATATTTTGTCCTTTTATGTTTGCTCCATGATCTTATTAGTTTTTGTGTGTTGACACCTAGATATATTTTTTCTGTTTGTGGTATTGACGTTGTGGTACCTCTCGTCCATGTGTTTTGACGGTTTGATATATTTGGTTCCTGTTGACATACGATTTGGTATAGTTTGGTGTTGACACCTAGATATATTTTTTTCTGTATGTGGTATTGACGTTGTGGTACATTTTGTCCATGTGTTTTGACGCTTTGTTATATTTGGTTCCTGTTGACATACGATTTGGTATAGTTTGTTTATGTGTGTCAACCTTGTGGAATATTACATATATAACATTGTGTTGACCCCTTACATTGGTTGGTGTCAGTATCTCAACAGAGGGTTTTAAGCAACATTACGTTTCATGTATGATTAATCCGTAATATCTGACCTGATTTAGAATCAAAGCGCACTTAACTGTTAATTTGATTTCCGCTCAGAGGTATGATGAACAAACTGACATGTTATTTGAATTGCATGGGTAATATTATTGAACGACGATTTATTTATGAAAATACAGATATTAAGTTTGTGATGTGTATCCATAATGACTTAATAATACTCTGAACAGTTGAGTAAAAGCAAATTAAAACAATGTAAACACTTTGGCGTCAAAGCATCCAGTATCGATAGCTGTGATACTAGTCCATACCTTACTTTGACACTTCGGTATTCTCTTACTGTTTTTAGTTTTTGGATATATTCAATGTTCAAAAACAGTTGATTGTGACAGGCACATGGACGGACATTTGTAGTATAAACAGTACTAGAATAGTAAAAACGTTGACAAAATATCAGTAAAAAGGAGATGTATTGTAGTAAGGATTAATTCAGAGACATAATGTCCCTTGTCCCGCGGCCCCTTTTATCCAAGTATCTTCTATATAATAGATGGTATGTACAATGATTTAGATGTGACCCTAACACGATTCTCTGACACTAACGAGTTCTATTTAGAAAAGAAATCCGATATCGAGGTTAGTGATACTCTTAACATTCCTGACAATGCCAGGTTATCGTGCTCAAAACAACGCTAACAGTACGATTTATGAAAGATGACATTCCGTCAATTAAAAAAAGAAATTTGACAAAATGTTTTCGCTATCGATAGATTGGCATTTATGCTCTAAATGTATATCATAAGTAACAAGGAGAAAGGGGTGAAAATTTGCACAGGCGTTTCCTTATAACTATTTACTGTACTTATAATGGATTCATTTCATGAAATCAGCACCCATCGTGGACAATGAATATTTACAGTAAACTATTTTGTTATCAATGCCATTAATAACATGCTTTACACACACTGTACACTACCTTTTTATGGTATTATTGTGAATATGACATTGCAAGTTATTATTGTACTATATTTTGAGTTAAACTGTATAGTATTTATGTACTACATCAAGCTCTATACAATAATCATGTACTAATTAAATGTGTCGTAACGTTTCAAGACCGACTGGCCCCTTTGTCAAGCTATAACTGCATAGCTTGACAAAGGGGCCAGTCGGTCTTGAAAGTTACGACACGTGCAGGAAGTAAAATCTTGATATTACGTATCCCTGATGAATCTTATTGAAGATATTTATGTACTATTGTGTTTTTGTGATTGTGTACGGAACTATTGTATCATATTATTATTATACGAATTAATTTAAATCGTATTTAAATTGGTAAATGTGAATGACATTTTGTTTATAAAGGCCTGATAACCACGGATAATAATTTGTGAACCGCTTTGAGACGACCTACGAACTTGGTTGTGATAAAGCGGTAAATAAAACCTCGAATTATTATTATTATTATTATTATTTATTGTTTTTATATGTAAACGTTTGTTTGGTACTTTGTTATAATTGTATGATGATAATGTATGACTGTACTGTATTAGTGCATTTTTGCTGTATGTATTTGTATATTATTGGAAAAAAAGGTACGTTATAGTCTGTTTACTTTTTTATGTTTGGCTCTGTAAGGTGTTATTATCAGATTTTGTGTGTTACTGTATATGGAATTAATGAATGATTTTAATTGGTGACTTTCTATGGTAGATGAATGAATACAAGGATGAATCTCTGAATATATCGTGAATGTTCTTTTACATTTTTGTAAATTGTATTCAGCGATCATGACAAATGATGACACTTTAATCTAAAATACTAGAACTGAGATATGAAACTGTTGTTTATGGAGGGAAATCTTAAAACAGAAAAGGTGTAAAATAGAATCGAAAATTTCTCTAAATAACGAGATTTGAAAATTTGAAGCAGAACCTTATTCACGAAATTTTCATTTCGCAGATGACATTTTCTGTCTGTATTTTAACTAAATTGTGATTGTATTTCGAGGTACACACGTCCTGGAAATTCACAAAAGATATACACACAAGAAACACACATCTCGGAATACACACAAGAAACACACATTTCAGAATACACACTCAGAACATACATCTCGGAGCACACATAATCTACTTATATCCCAAAACACACAAGATGTACGTACTCACTGTAGAATACACAAAACACACTCAATTCTCAGAACAAAATCAACACATATACCTCAGAATGTACATCAGGCATATACAAAAAACAGAAAAAGATTCGAACATTTTACAGTACTGATGAAATTTGTAAAGTAAATCATCAAGATTCTATAACTGATTTTTTCCCTCTTTATATGTAGTGTTAAAAGATATCACTCTATGTACGAAATTTCTTCATATAAAATGTAATAATAGCTTATTTCTCTAATAGATATTTTACTTTCTGGAGTACAGGTTTTTTTCTCATAAAAAATGTGTTCCCTAGACCGATTTTAAGTTCTAAAGCATTTACATAGTCAATATTTCGTTCTTTTGACATGAATAGTTCGTTTATACGATGTTTCACATTAAATAATGGATTTAAAATAAATCGCTAGTAAGGTATGTTTTATGTATCGACTATGGCTACTTATGTTTAGGCAAGACTTAATATTTGAACATTTTGATTGATTTATTTAAATGATGAAAGTTTCAATTCATTATAATAGTGGAAACATTTTTTTTGGAAAATTTATTCTACCTGTGTAAAAAAAGTTTTCAAAATGGCAGTACAATAAAAAAAAATTGGGGACACTAAACATTTGGTTTGAATTTTTTCTGTCGAGAATTTTGGAGCTTGGGTCCAGTTATAAACTTTTAATGGCGACAACATTACGCAAAACGTTTATCAAGGTTTAACATATTGCATCAAAAGCTAAGTCAATTTCTGTAGAGATTAAAAACTATGACTAACAAACAGGACAAACAAACATGCATTGTATTTAGAATAAGATATTTCTCAACAATTGCCTTTGTAAGTTTTGCTTTCATGACTAATAAAGCTGAACCAACATATTTTCGATTTACAGACAGTTTCCCTTCAAGCAGTCCAACAATTGTGTACATTCTATTAGCATAACTAAATGATATTCACCGGAATTGATTCCCTTCCCGTCGAGATTTTAAGAAGCCAGCTTCTTAATGAGTTCTTTAGTAGAGGGAAGAGGCAGTGGTAGTTGTATAAGACGATGCATTTGACCCGCGCGTGTAAACATCTGGAAGTCTTGTGACCCAAAGGTCAGTTTCGGGGTCAACCCTGCCACGAGTCCGTCCGAAATACCGGAAGTTTCTGCTACACCTACACTTCAATGACTTCAGCGTTTTATAGCGGACAGCAGTACATCCGGCGAAAATCGGAAGTGCAAATACTGCACCTAACAGGAAGTAAGCTAGAACACCGTCTGGGCGGACGATGTAAACAGCAACAGCTACGGCTACGGCTACCACTGAGTAAAATCCTAGATGGATAAATGACTTTAGAAAAGGGTTGGATTCCCGAAATTCACTCTCTACTTGCCTCGAAGGCACCCAATTCACATGTGCAGATACATTTGCATGAAAAGCTCGGGCAATGCGCACACATCCTACTATGGCTTCCGGTGTGAACTGCATGACGGATAAGAAGGTTTCTGCAAAGACGAATTTGATGTTGTATCTTCTGCATACTGCAAACTTAGGAAAGACGATTATGAGGAAAAGAATAGCAATGACAGGAGCCCATTGATACCTCAAGTTAAGATTTACGTGGATGAGAATGTAAACGAGAAGGAAGGGTTTCATCAGCATCTGACGCAGTGGCGAATGTGCGACATAGGATGACACGAAGTCGTGATTCGGAGCAGTTCTCCTCTTAGTTTTCACATACTCTTTCCGCCGAAAGATTCGCTGAAGTCCTCTCAATGGAATCCCTACTGCCCACTCCCAGAAGTACATGGCGTTTAGTATCTCTCCTCTGTTCCATCGTCTTTCCCGAATATTCCAAGAAATGTAATTAAGGGGTGGCTGCTCCGAGAAGGCCACTGTACTTACAAACAACGGATTCAAAACAGTAGCTTCGTATGTGTCGTGACTAAGAATATCGATTGGGACAAGTTCGATCAGTTTACCCCTCCGGCCGATCACCCTTTCTATATAGGTGGCGTTACGGATAAGACCTTTGCCATAGAATGAGCACCTATTAAGTAGCGCGTTCATGGCATTGCTCATAGGTTCAAACAATGTGTGCCGTGCGGATTCCAAGTACATAAATATCGTATCCTCTTCTGGAGACTGATTTTCCATTGTAACTGCAGGCTGGATGATGCCACGAGTGGGATTGGCGTCTGCAATATCCAACAATTTAAAGACACATCCGAATGGTATACCGGTGTCGCCGTCCGCTACTACAGTGTAGTCGAACTTCCTGCCACATATATTGTCCACGTCTTTGTGAGGAAGGAAAAGCTGATCACCTTCAGCACGAGCGTTGCGGCCGTAATGGGTCTGATCGCAGTATGTGAAGGCAAAGCGTTCGCCATACGATAGCAGCATAAGATCCTGGTATTGTCCACATTTTCTCAATACACGACTGTTGCGTTGAACCAACATGAACTCATCACAACGCGAATTACATAGTTTTCGCAGAATATCATTTAAAAAATAAGACTTTTCTATATGTTTATACCAAGACCAAAAATGTTCTAGTCTGGAAGGGTGTACCAGTTTGTAATCTCCTCTTGAAAATGCTAGCCCTTCTGTATATAACACATCGAAAATAAACACCCTGTAGAAATCTCTCATGTAAAACTCGTGTTCTCGCAATCTCCTCCCTGATGTAGCGCTAACCAACACAGCCGAAATTGTTGGCGATAAATTTCCCATGTAAGCATCGTACATACACTTAAAACACTCTTCTATGTCCTCCTTCGTATGGGCTAAAAGGTTGTAATTTATAATGGCAGATAGACGACTTCCGTCTCCTACCATCACCTCGCGTCTGTGGCCCCCAACAATCAAGGTGGCAACTGTTTGGATGGGGATTTCTATGACAGTGCCCTGAAGGATCGTCACAAAGACCACCACAGCAATGCCCGTGGCCAAGTCGGAGGTTTCCCAATTGATGTTGAGCACATTTAGAGCGCAAATAACAGCTGAGACAATCGCCCAAGACACGAAATATATAACAATACGGTGGTTCTTCATGTCTAAAACTCCTGTAGGTATCACAGTTCAAATGATCACAGAACATTGCTTGTAGTACCGTTAATGTGTCTCGTCGCCAGTTTCGATACTTTATTTTAATATCATGTTTATTTGAATTTTTGTTTCTATAAATAAATTGATATACTTTCTTAAAAATATTTACAATATTACCTTTGAGTGTGAATTTAATAGAGCAGTCCAAATGTCCAATCACAACGTCACTGTACAGGCTTGAATATCACGAAAAGTTTAGAGTTTTATTTGTTATAAAACAAATAATTCACGTACAAATACAAGTTTCCAAATCATTAAAGAAAAATCAATTTGTTATAAGCGCGCATAAAATCACTCCGCTCCTGCCTAGTACTTTTACCAAGTACTTTTGTTTTAGATAAATCTCGTCTTGGCTCATGAAGCTAATGAGTTCAAAAGGACACCATTGAAAAATGTTGCTATCAGATTTAAAGACAACAAACTTAATTGCTGATCATAATGAGTCACACGAAACAGAAACACCAGGGACTGCACTCCTTCTGAATGTTTGTGGTAGACGCGCATCTACGTTATTGCGATGGTTGACATGACAATCCATTATTACAAGCTGTCTTTCCTGATGACTTGCGATACAGTTAGAGCTAGTGACTGCTGTACTGAGTACAAGCTAGCTTATATATAGTACTTCGACTATCGCTGGTTCCGAAGTATCATATGTTCGGCCGTTTTAAAATGAATAGAAAAAGCTGACTTAAGAATTCAAATAATGCATTAAACAGATTTATAATAATATATGTAATAAACAAAAAATCTGAGGGGGTAAGATTTTTCTTTTTGTTGTTGGAAGTAGTTTGACACGGAATCGAGGGGCGTGTTTAGTTTCCTTTACAGATAATTCGGGCATTTCTGTACCCTATTATTCCTTTGACTATTTATGATGAAACCGTCCGATGAGTTCCGATACTAATTTCACGACCACTCACTATGATTGGCTAAGAGACCATGACGACCATTTTCTTGCTAATCTATCAGTCAATGTTTTTGTAACCCAAGCATTAGGTAGACGTTCCCTTTGTGTAGAGTATATATTTAGTTTGTTCCCCGGTTTAGACATAGGCCACCCTACCACAATGACGCTATTGTGGTCCACTCTTTAAATGGGTAAACGTTTTTATTGAATTGTTTTTTATTTTTTTATTTCATCGATAAATACCCGATTAAAACCTGTCAATACTGTTCAGAGTTTTTCCTATTTCTGAACCCAGCCACTTAGTATGGGAGAAAACTCGACCCTGTTCAGCCATGGTGCAGTGTTTATCTTCGCGGCCATTGTTCACTGTTATCTTAAATGACTTTTGTTAATGTGATCAAGTGTATCGGATGTACCCGTAAAGTCGCAGTATATTTACATTCCTATTATTATTTGTTTAATTCCTTAGTAATATGTCATGTGATATACTTTACTCTATATCTGTTCGGATAAAATGACATCTACGTAATTCAAAATTAATTACGGCGAAGATATATTAGTACTAACGTCCCCATGATGAAATACATACATGTATTTATAATCTGCCATCAGACATGAAGCTGTTTGAGTAAGGATTTAACTAGTTAATTGGTTCATGTATTGCACTTGGTGTAAATTTGTATGCTGCCTGCAACTAAGCTTACTGCTTGTTGTTAAGTATGCTGTGTGTTACTATGTATGTATCGTAGAAATTTGTGTTACATGTACCAAGTAGGTTATGATACTAAATATGATTTGTGTTACTAAGTATCTTTTGTGTTGCTAAATGTGTTTTGTGTTGCTAAATGTATTTTGTGTGCTACTAAGAATTTTATTTGCTTCTAAGTATGTTGTGTGTAACTAAATATGTTTGCATTGCACGCGCATGATCTATCGTCCATTAACACATAGTAATTAACCAAAGAAATAGTGTCGAATATGTTGTAGACTGTTAAATACTGAACATAACTTATATCTACAAGCGACAAATGATTCAGATTATCTTACGAAAACCAAATTGTCAAAAGAAATACTTTTACTGTCCGTTGCTAACCGTTCAGCCATGGATGGGGGTTAATAAGGACGCTTTAAACCGTAGTCATGTGACGGGGTAGAGTAGAGTGCCACGCTGCTGTGTCTAGGTTATGGTATTTAAGTGAGATGGCATAGTAAAGTGGATACATAGTGCCCTATCATTGATTTAAACATATTTTATTGTCGAAACAGACAAATGGATGAGAGACAAGTTCTAACAACTTACAAACTCTTCTCCACGAATACAGCATATGAATTACATTTAAATCACGTGACGTTCTATTTACACAGAGATAAGTTTACAAAATAATAATAAGGTAGACGTATTTTTTGTCTATATCAACTTTATCACAAAAAGTAAAGGGGGATTGGAAGAGAAAGTATATGAAAGACGGGAAAGGAAGTCGAGAGGGAGCAGATTTGATGCCGATTGTTCGTTCAGGTAGTATCAAAACGCTTTGTTGTATTAAAAAAACTCAGGAGTAAGTGTCACTATTTCCCCATAAAATAATTTCTAGATTAAGATCTACATTTAAATCGCGCAATGTATCAAATAAGACACGTCTTTGAATAACAAAATTTGACCATGTAAAGAAGTAGTGATTCGCATCTTCAACACCGTCACCGAACAAACAATTTGGGGACCAACATATTACTACTTTAATAAATCTGACCGTAAACCACTACAACGATGCCTTATACAGCCATGTAGTACAGAAAGATAGCGATTTCCAGTATGCAGATAATCAGGCACAGATGGAGGTACACGAGAAATTTTACTCTTAAAAGTCTGAAGAGAAACACGATGCCTGCTAGTTGTCTGGGTTTCTTAACTCCCTGTTTAAATCGCGCCTGCTTGGTGGGTTAGGTGTTCTAAGTAGGCTGGGGCACGTTTTAGTGAATATTATAAAAAAATACACAGTTTCTGCTCTTCTCTTCTCTGTTTAAGTGGTTTCAAGATAGTTTCTAAATATAATGCCTCGCGCGTGAAGCAATTAATGGTCGTAAGACCGGAGATGACCCTAGCTGCTTCCAATTGTACTTTTTCCAAAGAGTCGGACAAATGTTCAGAGCAGCCGTCACTAGAAGCATATTCTAACACAGGTCCAATAAATGATATATATATATAGAGTATTAAGAGTAGATTTACTTACTTTGTATTTCATTTTTTTTAAAGCTGTAACTTTTTGAGAACAAGATTTTATTAAATGGTTCACGGGGTCAGCCCATTTGTAGTTACCACTAAGAGTGACCCCTAAATGACGATGCGAGTTAGTGAACTCGATAGATTCATCGTTGCATACCAAGTTTGGTTTATCAGGGACATTTCTAGAAAAGAAAAGGATCGCTTCAGTCTTTGCAGGATTAAATTTCATAAGCCATTGGTCGGACCAGTTCTGAAGACACAGTAAATCATGATTCAATGCTTGCTCAATTTCATAAAGATACGAGGAAGATTTTTGAAGAGATGAATCGTCCGCGAAAAGTCTGACAAAAGTTTCCATGTGATCAGCGAGGTCATTTATATAAAAGAGAAATAACAGGGGCCCCAGTACAGAACCCTGGGGAACTCCTGCTGTAACTGACTTTAATGATGAGACGCCACTGCCATATATAACAGATTGTTGTCGGTTGCTTAAATAATTCGACACCCAAGATAGCAGTTCACCCCCTATGCCATACTGACGAAGTTTAAAAAGTAAACCTCTATGCCAGACTTTGTCAAATGCCTTTGACAAGTCACAGAATACAATATAAAAATAATCTTTTCTATCAGCAGCAGTGACAATGTTATGGTACAGTTCTATTAAACGTCAAACGGTGGAATGAGCGGGACGGAACCCAGATTGGTATTTATAAAAAATATCATTCTCTCTTGCAAAGTTAAAGATATACTTAAAAACACACCTTTCCACAATTTTTGACAGATAGCTAAGTAAAGAAATAGGTCGATAATTGGAAGGAAGTTGTGCATCTTCTTTTTTGAATAACGGCAAGACATGAGCCTTTTCCCATTCGGAAGGGTAAACAGCTTCTCTGATAGATCGACTGAACAACATGGTGAGAGGCTGTGCAATTGATCTGGCTGTAGCCTTCAGCATACGGTGGCTGATCTTATCATGGCCAACTGTCTTTCTAATATCTAGAATTGATAAAATATCAAAAACTTCATTTGCATGTATAACAATATTAGTGAGAGAGTTTTGACATTTTCTATGAAAATCAGGTAGAGTGACATTGGATTCGTCAGTACATGAATATGAAGCGAAATAATTATTTAGAACTTTGACTTTTTCTTGGTCACTGTATGTCACTTTTGAACCGCCATTAACTGAGTAATCCAAAGGAGGGATAGATCTGGGAGGGGAAGAGAAAAAACTGTTTAAAATTTTCCTAAATTCACGAGGATTTTCATTTTTTCGATTTATTGATAAGGGATTCGAGATTACTGAAAAAGTCTGCCTAAGCTTTCTTTTTCATATTATTAACTTTATTTCTTATGCTCTTATATTTTGACCAATCATCCGGGCTCTTTGAACTGAATGCTTTGTACTTCATTCGGTCACGTATACGACAGTGTTTCCGTAAGACAGTATCAAAACAAGGTTTATCTGAGGGGCGAACAATTATTTTAGAATTTGGGATACATTTACTAGCTAGTTCTAGGTATTTTGCTGTAAAGTTTTCTACTGCACAGTCAATAGAAGGTGCATTACAAATCAGGTCTTGCCAGTTTACTGCCATTATCAAATCATTAGATTTTAAATTGTCTGCTTTATTGTAGTTCCAAATAAGTCTTTCATAAGATGTCTTGCAGCAATAAGAAAAAGATAAATTCATAAAAGTAGCTTTGTGATCGCTAATTGTATTATCCACATCAAAAATTCCGCTATCCAAACACTTTATGTTGGTAATAATAAATATAGGATCAAGAAGTGTAGCTGTATCGGCAGTTACACGA